TGAGCAAGAACTAGAACAAGGTTCTGAAGGTTATGTTTTGAGTTTTTTGCATAATCAAAAAGAAAAATTTTTACTAAGATTAAAGTAAATAAAAATATTACAACAAGCAGAAAGTTTTGGCAAGATTGATAGTAGTAAAAAAATAGCAGAGAATAGTTAGAATATAAAATATATAGAAGTTAGAAAGAAGGAATATTTAAGAGTAAAAATAAAGAAGAAATTAATTTGTTTGTTGTTTAGTTATGTAAAAAGTTAGTTTGATTATTAAATATTAATAAAATTTAAAATAAAGTGAAGTGTTATTAAAAACTAGAGAAAAGTATTTAAAAATTTAATAAATATAGTTTAAGAAAAAAGAAAAAAACTTAGTAAATAAAAAAGGTTTAGGATTTTTTGTTGTATTAAAGTTTAAAATAAAGTAAAGTAGATTATGTGAAAATATTGATGAATATAATTTAAGAAGAAAGAAAGAGTGAATCAGGGATTTCAGGTATTTGAAAGTTTGGTAAAAAAAGATCTGTATTAATTGTTGGGATTAGAAGTTTTTTGAAAATATATTTTATAGCTTGTGGAAAATAAGATTGATAATATTTAGAAAAAATTAAAGAGATTGGGTGAGAAAAAATTGTATGATATTAAAATAAGTTATAATATTAGTGAAATGATAAGGGTTTGCAGAGATTGAAAAAGCATATTGTAATGTGTTTTTAAGATTAAGATTGGTTATATTATCATTTGTAGTGGCTTGCTTAAGAAATTGTTAAAATAGATATATAAGAAAGAAGTTTCATGTTTAAAATTGGTGTAGTATTGTTAAGTTGTATAAATTGTTGTTCTGCTTGATAAGCTAGTTCTTTAAGAGATTTAAAAGAAAATAGTTTAAAGAATATAGCAAATAAAGGTTGATTTGGTTCAAAACTAGAAAAATCTAGATCTGGGTTAGTAAATTTTAAAGTAGTTAGAAATTGCGTAAAGGATTGTTTAAAGAAGAAGGAGATTAAATTATAAAAAGTATGTTCAATATTGTTAGAAAAAATATTGCAAGTAGAATTTTTACAAGCATGTAAATAATATAGAGCAGCTTTAATAGATGTATCAGTACATTCTTGTAGTGAATTAATTGATGTAAGTTGGTAAGAATCTGGGAGTAGTTGTTTAAAATTATTAGAAAGAAAGGTAATAGTTTAAAATTTAATGTAATTATAAACTTTTTGTTGATTGATATATGAAAATTGTTTTTTATAAATATTATATAACAGCTCTGCTAAAGTGTTTGCTATTATAATATGCAGTTTCCTTAAACCTCATATATGTAGTTGCTAATTACATCCTGGTAGTACAATTGCACTTGATCTTTTTTTTAAAAACTCTATTAAGCTCTGAATCTTATCCATGTATCTTTCTTCTACTGACTCCTCTCGAAGAAATGCTACTCAAAACACTGTCATTAGCTGGATCTTGCAAGCCCAACAACAAAATATTCACCCCATTGTTCTCAGTGACTTTAATATATATGACAACATATTTAGCTCCTCTGCTAGATTTAAACTTATCAACTTTCTACACCGTTCAAACATGTGTAATATCAGCTCCCACTCAAACAATATCTCACACATCTGGTTTAACAATATAAGCTCTAGCTGAATCAACTACATTTGAACTAACTCATTTAATATTCAATTTCTCCTTGCCTACAATCTTGATAATAGTAAAACAAGCACACTCAGTGACTATCTCATACTCTTTACTACCTGGACCTTTCCAAATGTATATAACAAACCACCTCATTTATATACTAATATCTATTGCCATATCTTTAACTATAAATCAACATCTTCTAACTACTGGCTCAAGTTCTCTAACTTTGCTACTAAACTTTTTTAACAATATCATATTATACCCTACTAACTCTACTATTAGTATTGATAGCATCTGGCATAAGATCTAGCACTGTATTATACAGGCTGCAATTAAAAAAGTTCCTAACAAAGTCACACACAAACGTAGCTATAATTATAAGGATAGCCCACACTATACTGCGCTCTATACAAGACTTAAAAAATTCAGCCACTTTATCAAAATAATTCACTCTAACACTAACTAGTTAGATATACATTTGCAATACATTCATTTAAACATTCTATTAATTAATTCATAAACAAAATACAATCTTTAGTTACCCTCAATATTGGATCCTGCCTATATTCAAGTATGGCTTAAAGAAGCTTATACTGTTTAGAAACAGGTATACCATGCCTATCTCCTAGAATATTCACTCCATCTCAGACAACAAATCAACTAAGCTTCAGAGAAAAAATATAAAACTCTTGTTTCTAGGTCTGCTCATGCAATCAACAGTATACTTGATCGCTACAAGGCTCCTATTTATTTCTCTAATATCAAGCTCCCAAACCAACTTGTTACAAACCCTACAGACATCAAACAACATATACAACAACACTTTAATAATTAGACTGCTTACAAACCTATTAATCATCTACTTTTTAACAATATTTGACAACAACATTACTCTCCTTTACCTCACATTAACCCAGACTAGTACAACCCTCTTACTACACCTATTACAAATGAAGAAGTCCTCTAAACTATTGCCAAACTTTCTAACAACAAAGCCTGTACCCCCATAGATATAAGTTATGAAATGTTCAAATATCTTAGCCACCATTGTATAACTGTATTTGTTGCTCTCTTAAACAGATGCTTTTCTGAAAAATATATTCTGAAACAGTGAAAACATAGTCAAATCTACCCTATTCCAAAAAGAAACACATTTGATAGAAATTTTAACTTAACTCACCCTATTAGCCTTATAGAACATGCCAGAAAAATATATACTAAAATCCTTACAAACAGATTAAACAATGTTTTCTTTCATTATCCTATTCTCTCTCTTTATAACTATGTTGCTCTTCTAGGCAACAATACTTCCATTTCTATACACATCTTTAACAACCTCATTGAAGATGCAAGCTGTAACTATAAAGAAATCTGGCTCTTGTTCCAGGACATAAGCAAGATCTATGACTCTGTTAACTCTACTTTTTTGCACCATGCCCTTTTACACCTTGCACTTCCTGCTTCAATTATTAATACAATCTCCAACCTGTTTATTGGTTGCCACAATGATGTCATTACCAACCTTGGCCTTAAATCTTCTTACTTTGTGCAAGATGGAATTGGCCAAGGAGAAACAATCACACCATTACTTTGGCATATCTATTATAACCCTCTTATTTCCTATATACATTCTACTATACCTGGATATCAAATGCAAAGTTCATGGTTTACCTGTTTAAAAAACTTCTTAACCAACCAAATTAAAACCAGATGCTTAGTTCTTGCTTATATGGATGACACTCTATAGATTGCATCCTCACACACGGAACTAACCAAAATAATTTCAATTGCAGTATTCTTTTATTTCATGGCTAATATTCAAGTAATCCTAAACAAATCAGTCCTTACTATTAACTTAACCTCTAATCCTCACTATCCAATTATCTTTAATAGCCAAACACTTTCACTACAACTACCAAACCAGCCACTCAAATTTCTTGGGTGTTGGTTTACACTTGACAACAAACAATCTAAACAAATATAACAAATTACAAATGAGTCTTCTCAACTCATTCAAACAATTAGTTCTAAGAAAATTAAAGATACACAAGCTTGCTATATTATCAACACAGTTATTATACCTACTATTGAATATTATTTACAGAACATTGTTCTTAGTCAAACAGCCTGTAATAAAATCTTCACATGTCACATTGGTCTAGTCAAGTACAAAACCAAACTCAGCCACACTATACCCACTAGCACTCTACTCCATCTACAAATTTACAATATTAAAAATATCTGGGACATTCAATTGCAACATTATATTTTTAACTTCATCAAACGGCTCAACAATAATTATCTTCTCGGCACTTCTACACTTATCCATATTCAACAACTACAGAGCAATCTATGGTCTTCTATAAATATCTTCTCTTATCCCAATTCTATCTTTTAAATTGTTTTGCAGCCAAATTTGCCTGCAAACGTTTTTAAATTTAAATTTTTTTAATAAAATTTTAAATATTGATTTTAGCTATATATTTTCTAAGTAAAATATTTAATTTGAGATTTGTTTTATTAGCTTTGTTAAAAAAATTTTTAAAAATTATTAAAAAACTTTAGCACAATAAAAGTTTAAAGTGAAGTATTTACTATACAATTTCTTCTTTAAATTTTTTTGAATTTTATATGTTTTTCACCTATAAAAAAAACTTTACTCTTAAGACAAGTCTTAAGTTTTATTAATGAAAGTTGTCATCCTTTATATAAACTACAATATTGTATTAAAAACTATATTTTTAAAATTAATATTTAAAGAGTTCGTCAGGAAATTGTAAATTAATTCAAAATTACTTTGTATCGCTTGCGGTGATCATCGCCGGGGTCATATAATATCAATTAATTTTACATCAGATTGGTGCATTATTTATATTATCGCATTGATTACATCATCGTATTATTTACATCATTGTATTATTTACATCATTGTATCATTTACATCATTGCATCGTTTATATCATTGCATTGTTTACATTATTGCATTGTTTAAATAAACATATGTACGCATATTACACTTATTTTCTCTTACCCATAATCAATATCCAACTGCCCAGTTGTCCTTTGACATCAAGTTATTTTGATACCTAGTTGTTTTTCGATAGCTAGTTGTTTTTCAATACCTAGTTGTTTTTCAATATCTAGTTGTTTTTCAATACTAGTCGTTCATTAGTTTTTTTTCCGATATCTAGCTGTTTTTATAGTTAACTGCTCTAAATGACGCTTTTTTTTATGCACAATTCAAAAAACAAATGACTTATAATACATAAATAAACCCATTATTTAAAGTAACACTTTGTTTCATGCACGTTACCTTTATTTCTTTTGTTTTTAATTGATACTTAGTTGGCCTTGTAAAAAAAATGGAGATTATCTGTTATTACGCTTAACAAGATACCCAAGCTTATATTACAACTAATTAGTAGCATGGAGTCTGAAGATCAAGATTAATTGTTTCTTGCAGATAATGTAAATAAAGACGAATTAATTGAACATAATGATGATACAAATATTATTTGCATTAGCAATGGTGATAATACAACTTTAAACAAAACAACCCTGAAATTAAATGATACTTTCAAAACCTGGAGTGAAGTTAATATTGTTGTTAGTCGATACACAAAGCAAAATGGATTTGTAGCTATTAAATACCGTTTAGAACTTGATGCTATCGATAAATCTATTGTTCGTCAACATGTGTACAAATATTGGAAAGCTGGTGTTCATAGTCCTAAAAAGATGAAAGATATTAGCTTACATTATGATAGTGTTACAGTCAAAATGAATTGTGAATGGCAAGCAAGTTTTAACTTTGGAAAACGCGCAACTGAAATATGCCTTACCAAAATTGTTAATAAACATAACTATCTATATGATACAAAGACAATAGAGCTAGCACCTAAAAATCTGCGATTTTCACAAGTGATTATTAATAAAATCTAGCAGTACACAACCAATGGACATCTAAATGCTAGACAGCAATATAGTCTTCTTCTTACAGAATTTCCCAAATACAATATAAAAATGAAGAACTTATACAATGCGATTCAAAAATTTCGAGGAGTCCGAATTCATGATGAGACTAATGCAGCTACAATGTTCCTATATCTTACAGAAAAGTGTGACAAAGATCCTGAGTATTTTGTTGCAACATGATTAGAAAGACTGTCTAATAAACTTACTGGGCTTTTCTGGATGACAAGTTACTAACGTAATGAGCTTTGGCCAAAATATCATAATGTTGTCATATTTGACAATACAGCAAAGACAAATAGATATGAAATGGCACTTAGCATTTTTGTTGGTATCGATAATAACTTTAAAATGAGGATTCTTCACAAGTCCTATCTAAATATGAAATATTCATTGATTATAACTGGATATTACAAAAAACATTAAAAGCTACTGATAATCTCCCACCTACAGTGCTATTTACAGATGGTGACTCTGCCATGTTAGCTGCTGTGCAGTTGTTTATCCACAAACCCATTACTTACTATGTATTTATCATGTTACAGAAAATGTAAAAAAGAAAGCCAAGTCCAAATTGCGTGGAAACATGATCAAGGATTTTATTAGAGATTTTTACTGTATACGCAATAGTTATAATCAGTCTCAATTTGAATCTGAGTATGAAAAAATGCTTGCTAAATATGAGCTATGTCGAAATTACCTTGAAAAAAAGCTTTATCCAAGCCATGAATCATGGGCAAGATATTCAATTACAAAAATATTCACAGCGGGTTTGAATCAACCCAATGAGTAGAGTCTATTAACAGTGTTTTTAAAAAACATTTGGATCAAGGAACATTGTTAAAAGAGTTAGTGAAAATTGTAGAAAGTGAGTTAGATAAAGAGTTACAGTATACTCGCCTTAATAATTATTATGGTTCAAATCCATCAACTAGGCTTCCATCAACCTACACTATGATTTTTAAGGACATTGATACTGTTTTAAAAGAATATATATCACCTATTCCATTGTCGCTTCAGAGGGCACAGATAAAACAGACACTATTATACCAGGGCTATTAATTACAATTGATCAAGTAAGCATTCTGTAAGATGGTTAGATGAAGTAATTTTTATAAAATTAAACTTTC